TAAATGGAACAATAGAAGTAGCTAACGATAATGGTAAAGAAAAAAGAGAGATCGCGTATGTAAGTGCGCACACGTGAAAACATATCGTCATTACTCTACATAAGAATATGAAAGCAACACTTATTTACTGTTCATATATATTTTAATTAATGTTTCTGAATTTGTTTTTATTGAATTAATGTCTGTGTGTGTAAAATTAACAATACAATTTATTAATAATACGTGGAATATTAGAGGAGACGAGACGGCTGCCGGCATTGTTTATGCTAAAGCTTACGAAACCAGTGACGATTGGTTCTACATATAAAACTGAAGAAAATAAGACCCTGATTTTAGCTGTAGTAAAATTAATGTAAAAAAAATTAATATGGTTGTTTGAAGTACCTGTAATGTTATTTAATGTTAATAAATGGAACAATATAAGTAGCTGACCATTAATGGTAAAAAAAAAGTGAGACTGCGCGTATGTAAGTGCGCACATGTGAAAACATATCGTCATTACTCTACATAAGAATATGAAAGCAACACTTATTTACTGCTCATATATATTGAAGGGTTAAATGTTGTACTCTGTATAGACAAGCAGAGAGAGAGAGAGAGCAGCCGAACTGCCGGATGTAAACAAACCTTAATTTCCAGCGGCTTTGCTTTTTTCTTTTTTTAAGGGGATTAGCCCACCCGGGCATAGCTCACTGACCCACATTGGGGCCTGAGGGGCAAAAATTTAATACTCCTGTAATACTAATTCAGATAAAAAAAAAAAAAAAGCTGCCTATCTACCTATTGGACAAACTAAAATCGTTCCGGACCACGGGAGTTTCCGGACCACAGAATGCCGGACTAGAGAGGTACAACCTGTATAACTTTACTTAATCAAATTTTTTTTTTTATATGAAACTTTGGGTTAGGTTCTGAGTCTTGGTTCAGGCATCAGTTTTGCCCTCAATATAAGTGGCGAAGTACAACACAAGTTTCAACATTGGGCTGGTGTTTGATGCTTAACATATTATGTAATTTTACCAGTTCTGGCCTCTAAGGTAGAACATCTACTGTATGTAACCAGTTGAGATTTTGGTGTTCAAGATTGAAAAGTTTTACCTATTAATATACTGTGTTGTTTTTTGGGTCATAATTACCATTTTGTCAAAAAAAAAATACTATATGCAATGTTGTATTCCCATATAATTTTTTTCTTTGATAGTTTAACCCCTTCCTTACTGCATGCCCTCAGAACTCCACTTACTGTGTATTATTACCATCATGTGAGCATACTGTATGTCAGCTTGGCCATGCAGTAAGGAAGTAGTTAAAGCAGCATTTCTGATCCAATTTTCCTGATTTTTCACATGCTTGTTTGGCTCTTCATGTAACTACTGTATATAGGAATTTAACCTTTTTTTATATTACAGTGGGGTATGCTATAACGAATCTAATGGTTCTAGAACCTCGTTCGTTATAGCATTCGTTCGTTATAGGATTAATCCGTTCCAGGCCCCCAAATACAACCACTTAACACTGAAAAATATAATATAAAATTGTAAAATTTGTAAAAAAGTGCATAAATATGCATTTAAACTCCTGAAATAAAGAATATCATTAATACTTGTAATAAAAAATAATAAATTAGTAAATAAAAAAATAAAAAAATACTGTTCATTGTAGGAGTTTCGTTCGTTATAGCATTCTCAATTTTATAGGTAAAACCGTTCATTATAGGAATATTCGTAGTAGAATCCGTTCGTTATAGCATACCCCACTGTATAAGGGTTTTCTTAGAATCCAGCTTCTCATAAAACTTTACCATTAGACTGCCATGTGCATGCTTGCTAATTATTCTTTATAAAAAAAAATTATGGGCCAGTGATCATTGACAAGTGACTGGTACGGTGTTCCCATCAAAACACCCTGACAGAGTCTGCCTTGTCCAGTTGGCTTGATATGTTCCAGCACCATATCTCCTGTTGGATCAGTACAAATTGCTGTAAAGTAGCTATTTCAATCTCAAATTGGTGGTTGCTTTAAAATTTAAGATATGACACAATTCAGGGCTAAGCAAAGGTGATATAACAAAGGTACTCAAACTATCCAACCAAGAGTGTACTCGTAACAATGGTTTTAAATTAGACACATTTAGATTTAGGCGCCACATAGGTAAATATTGGTTTGGAAATAGAGTAGTGGATGAGTGGAACAAGTTACCAAACATCATCATTAACTCGAATACTCTGGATAGCTTCAAACATAGGTTGGATGGATATATGAGCAATAGGGGTTGGGCGTAAATGGGACTGTCCAGTATGGGCCAATAGGCCCATTGCATTCTTACCCGGTTTGTTCTTATGTTAAGTCACAGGGCTCGAACCTACGATCTGTTCACTCACACTCACATCTCAGTTCAGTGGTCCCTCGGTTAACGAGCGCCTCGGTTAACGAGGTTTCGGTTAACGAGTTACCTTCCATAGGATTCTTAACTTCGGTTAACGAGCAATCCCTCGATTAACGAGTTTCTTACGAGCCGACCTCAACATGTTTTCGCTTGCATTTGGCGGTCCACCAGCTGTAGTATTGGTCCACCAATACAGTAATCGGTTCTAGGCTTATATTCCTTAACATTTTAGTAAATATCAAGAAGTTTATACTATTCAATAAATTTAAAAGTTTAATATTTAATTTTTTAATCATTTTAACAATTATTGAACATAATTAAAGGTAAGGAAACTAGTTTTATGCGCGCCATCCAGCCTGTCAACACACCAAACAGGCGCCAGTCTCTCTGTCTTTTCAGTGGAGGTAACATCTTGCTTGAGACTCTCTTCAACTAAATACTTTTTTCTGTGTTTGCAAGCAAATTATTGGTCATTTTGAAATATATTTTACATATTGGCAATATATAATGCAGTGCAGTGTTGATTTAAAGAAATTAATCTTGAATTACACCAAGTGAACTAAAATTTTATGGGTGAAATGGTGGCACGGGGTGACTTCTCTTCCACCCCAATGCCTTCTCTTCTCTCTTCTCCTCCACCCTCATTCTAATTCCCATCATCATCATCCAGGAGCCTTCTACATACACACCTTGAAGTAAGTGTACTTTTCTACCTTTCTTTTTGAAGTTAGGCAATTTTCGGTGAGCTGGAACCAATTAACCAAAAACCCATTGAAACAATGGTTTCGGTTAACAAGTTTTTCGGTTAACGAGCAACGTTCTGGAACGGATTGTGCTCGTTAACCGAGGGACCACTGTACTTAAGTCAACCATGAAATGGGACTTGAAGTTTCAGGCCATCATTTCTTCTCTGCCACTAACATATTATAAACACCTCTTACCTATGGTGCTGTGCTCCTTGTGGCTCTTATTTTCTAAGAATAAAGGTTTACCACATAGCAATTACACAGTGACTCTCTAACAATGGAAATTCTTATTTTGACAATCTGAATCATTTCAAGCTGATAGATTGCACCATAATTTTGATCACACTCAAGTATTCAGTGGCTCACTTTGTATGTTTGTGACCCATGTCAGCCACATGGGGGGAGGGGACTTTACAGCACTTCTCCCAAATCATCAGGACATGTTAAGATAAAACACATTTGTGTGACCATTATTTGTTTACATTTTAAGACAAAAATTAGTTGTCATCTTACATGTAGTATGACAGTCTCTCTGTCCTGAATCATAAATTTGTTGCTTTGGCAAGCTCATTAATTTTTATTTTCCTGTATATTACTCTATATACTGGCTTGAAACCAATAAAAAATGCTGTTTCATATGAACTAATCTTCGTCATAAATACTCAACAAACAAACCTCGAGATGACTGGACAAGAACAAGACAGAGTAAGCTGTGTACAATACAGCCTTGAATATCTACATAGCACCTCTAGGATGACCAATTCTTATCCATCAAGTAGATAAAGGTCTGCTTAATTTAATCACAGTACATACAGCACTTCTTAACAAAGTTATCACCACATCACCCACTTGAAGACACAAAAGTTAATTCTACAGCAGCCACAGGGACTACTTGTACCACACAACCAGTTGACCTCAGATATACCAGAAACACGCTATAATACATTGACTGTCATCAGTATCATGAACATGTGTCATCCCTATGTCACGCTCCTTATAACATGTCAGCCCTGCAATACAGAAAGTTAGTTCTATCTTCCAACTTCCTGAAATGCTTCTAAATCATTTCACTTCCAACCCACAATGGAGACAAGGACAGAACTTACCAACATTCTTCTCCATCCAACCTATACAGCTTCATATTTATGGATAACAGCTTCATTACCATCCTTTTCTATCTATTTTGGAGTCTCGCAGGTCTCTTGTCAAATGAACTGCAAAGAATTGCAAAGATTCAAAGCTTGGAGTCCCATATTATGGCTGATGGGAGAGGTTGAGATCCGAATAAATCAGCTTTAGGTTTTCAGACTTGCTGATTTGCTAGTTTTCAAAACTATCAACAGGTTAGGAGGTTGAAATTCTACTTAGTTAAGCACAGCACACTGGTTGAGTAAATACTTGACAACAATTTCTTTTGCCTAGACAGTGCAGTGCAGCTGCTGCTAGACCAGGGCATGCTCCCTGATCAAGGCAGACTACCAGGGAGTGATCTAGTAGGAACATCTCACAGGTCACTTGTCACTTCCACTTGGTAGTAAAATGGGATTTCATATTGTAATTTTTGTGCTGAAAAAAAAGGTAATATAGTAATAGCAAATGCCAGGTAGACTTTTATGTTTGTTTTATTATTGTTTGTGCCATCTCTGTACAGTTCCTTGCAGTTTGGTTCACTTTATGTCCATGTCATCTACAAGTAATGTTTTATTTATGGTTCACAAAAAAAAAAAATTCTTTCCTTCACTAGTCATTTGTTTATAACGTAATAAATCAAGTACTTTGATGATCCATCTGTATGGACATAAGGTGACCCAGCTCCATTATGCCCACATCTTGTCACTAATAATATCTTATCATTTTTTTGCTTCTAGGGGACGGACGGGATACCAGGGGTTGAGGTACTAATGTTGAATAGTATTTTACTCCTTTGCATGTGTCTTGGCAAGAATATAAAGATATGGTCATCTCAGTAATGCAACAGAATGAGTTATATGCAATTCAGTATTCTCATCAGGTATAATATTAATAAACAATTTGTCGACCAAAAAAGTTGACACTAAATAACATGTCATGATTGAAAAACATTCATATTGAAAAGTTACAAAACATGGATTACAAACATTAACATGATGACTATGAATATGGCATACAAGAATCAATAGACAGTTTCATTTGAGGTCTTTTGTATGTTATATAAGTTAGCATCAGCCATTCTTCATCACAGATGTGGCAGGTTTTGGAAACGTACCTAAAAAAGTCTCCAAAGTATTAGTCCTCAGTAAGAACTGAAAGTATTGTTAACACAGTAAATAATGAAGGTCATGACCAGTTTCATACAACATAATGTCTTGTAGCACAAGTTAGGAAACATTTTAAAAGTGAGGAAAAACAAGACATGAAAAAATCTGGAAACAGAGACCATGCAACAAAGGCTTGTGCTTGGTGTGCGTACGTACTATGGTGCATTGAAATAGCTATTCATCCACATAATCATATACTGTACTGTTCATATATTGTCTTTCTTTAAAATAACTTTTGGAAGGATCAGACTCTTGTCATCTGATAACAAGCATGAGTCACACATTGTCATGGCATGTGTATGATTTGCATTTGCAGGTGAAACTATCTAGTGGGGAAGGTGCTCTTTCTTCCACCAATGGCTTTCATCTAAGGACATATTTACTGTGATTTCTTTCCCCACTTTTGAAACCCCCTTGCTGACTACAGTGCAGTTTGGGCATAATCAAGGATATCACAGGCTCTTCCTCATTCAGTGTCAGTCTCTAAATCTGTCTCACTAGATATGTTCTCTTTTGTTGTCTCCCTCACATAAGCTCCTCAAGATGCTGCTCTGGTTTACCTCCATTGCTTCAAGTATCACTCCACTTTCACAGTTTTATATTTCACTGTATGAGACATTTGATCAAATCCTTCAGACTTTGTAGTTTTCTGTACCGTATCTCTGTCTTAAATTATTTCCTTGACATGTTACTTTTCTGTTTTCCCTCTGTTTATCCTAACTCATTATTTGTTCAAATTTTTTTCAATAACTTCTGTACCCTTTTTTTTATTTTTCCCAAAACTTTTGTCACATTCTTATCTTTTCTTTCTATTCATTTCTCCAATTTTCTTTTCTTTTTTGACTTTTACTATTTTTTTTATATAAATTCACTAGAGCAGCTTTCAGTCTTTTAATTGTCTTTTAGCTTTTTAATGTGTATCCAGCTCGGTTTTTCATCTATACCTCTTAACCACATATAACACGTGTTCAGACAACACTCCACCTAAACCTCACACTAATCTTACACAACCTACTGATCATACTTTCCTCTTTAAGACTCCATCTCTTGTACTTCTCCCCATACACTCGACATACCAAGTTAACAGTACAGTATCAGTATGTGTATGCCACATTGTGTCTACAGCTGTAATAACCTCAAAATAGTCTTGCATCCGACTGCATGACCACACTGCAGTCATTAACCAGTACTGCAGTTACTGTACTGAAGTAGTACAGTAATTAATATGATACGTGCCCGTAGCACTCTCTATGTGTTTTTCATGCTGTAATAAGTTTAACAACTTTTAAAATTCAGCAACAGTTACAGTGCTGAAATACCATTTCATATGACACACTGTTTACGTCCTGCAGTTATCCTCATTGTAGAAACATGAAGTTGTATACAGTAATGTATTGTTTTTAATTTTGTCCTAATTATTGTTTGTCATCTCTTCACTCTTAGGGCCCTAAAGGAGAGAAAGGAATGAAAGGGGAAAGGGTGAGTTCTCTCTAATTTTTTTATTTTTAAATTGTTTTATGAAATTATTGAAGATTTTAAGTTATTCCTTCTTGTGTAAAGAGAAATATCAAAATAAATACCTTTTACTCTGCAGCATGTTAATGTTCTAAGTTATTTACAATTTGATGAAAGAAAATCACCCAGCAGACAGTCACATCTTAGTGAGTTGATGCATTTATAGCTGGCATGGGATTTCAGATATGACCTGTGAGAGAACTCATCTGTGTCTGTGTAACTAATGTCTGACACAGGAACGATGACAAGCAGTGGCAGATCCAGGATTTTCAGAAGGGAGGACCCAAATATAGAAGAGGGGGTGCAAACAATGTGTGCATGTGTATTAGGTAGAAATAATGATGTCACAGTGAAGTTCACGTATACAGTACTAGAAATATAAATTATATCCAAGGACAAAATACATTTGCGTGGATTTACTACAGAGTTGCCAGAGCCATGAGGTGAATTAATTATGGGGAGTCAAGGTCAACTACCGCATAGTTCATGTGTAACGGTCTCCTTGTATTCTGGGAGCCAGTAGGTTTGGTCTTGGGTATATATTTATCAATCAAATAGTTCACTTTATTGATTATGATGTGTGGGTAGTATCTGCATTCTTGTTTACCAGCAAGCCAGGCCAGTGAATTCATTTCCTCCGTCATCCTGTTGTAATTGCCACTATAATATTTGAAACTTGGCCGGTTGGTATCATTAACAAAATAACACTTAAATCTCAAGGACAATGTCACATGATGTCTTTGCCAACGGGAACTAGATGTTCCAGCTTGGCCAGCATACACTCCTCATTAGTTATGATGAGTTCCAGCAGCTGGGTGTTTGTTCCTCTCTATAGTGAGTTGGATGTTTAATAAGTTAGAATAGAAATTTGTCTCAGAGTTTCTCCAAAAAAGAATAGCAGGATTATTAAGATCATTTCATTCCTTCAGTCATTGTCACTGTACAGTAGTTGAAGTTTCCCATGACAAGGAGGTAGCTAAAGTTGAGTGCCATTACAGTGTCAATTAAGGCTCTTAAGTTTCCTTGGTCTAATAAACTGAAATTTTGGAATATATAAATACATCCAAGAATAATAAAGTCTCTCCCCTTCAGTTTAATTTTACAACACTTTGATTATTCAAAAGCATCCTCCCCCCTGCACTCACACCTGGCTGGCTCATAAGTGAAAATCTCCATAATAAGTTTGGGGAACTCTGTCTTTACTCAAGAATTCTTCCTTGGCTGGATGATGATATGTTCGGGATTTAAGCAAGGAAGATATATAAAAGAGTTAACTGCTCCACACTTTTTGCTTCCTTTCAGTGATAGCAAACATATATATATATATATATACACAGTATATTTCATGTAGATCCACAATGAAAACGTGGATGAGATAAATCTTGATAAAATCACATGGGAAAAGCTAAGGTGCCCGCTGTTTCCCGTGTGATTTTATCAAGATATATATATATATATATATATATATATATATATATATATATATATATATATATATATATATATATATATATATATATATATATATATATATATATATATATATATATATATATATATATATATATATATATATATATATATATATATATATATATATATATATATATATATATATATATATATATATATATATATATATATATATATATATATAATTGAAATAGAGACTGGGCCGACCCCCAAACTCCACCTTTTCCCGACACAATACGTACGTTGTAGTAAAAATAACATCTTAACTTTATGATGGTATGCACACACACATAATATAGAAGAGAAATATCAATAAGAGAATAATATACTGTACCAGGTAAAAGAAAAATCAAGGTTGAACACTTACGTCAAGTTAGGTTAGGTTAGAAAAAAATCAAGGTTTAACACTTACGTAAGGTTAGGTTATGTTTTAAAAAATCAAGGTTTAACACTTAAGTAAGGTTAGGTTATGTTAGGAAAAATCAAGGTTAGGTTTAACACTTACGTTAGTAGAAGAGATGGGTCGGCGTACGGGAATGGCGGCTGGTTCCGAGGCAGAGGACAGACTATTGGCCCTCAGGTGAGTCACCATCACTGTCCTCCACATTTGTCTGGGCCTCCCTGACAAATCCCTCAAAGTCACCATCACTGGCTTGGGCTGGCTGTGGTGGGTTGCGGGCGAAGAAGTCGGTAATGCTTTGTTGACGGCTAGTGTTGATATTGTCGTGATGCACCTTGATGTACGGCGCCATAGTCTGCAACAGCTGGGTAGTGAAGACTTCTTACCGGTTATCGTTAGGGTCTTCGGAAAGGAGGAGCTTCAGTTTCTCTGCACACTTGATGGCACCCCTAACATTATCATGCGTTAACTTGTGTTCTTCTCTGGATGACGCACCACCTGCCTCTTCACTGACGTGATTGTCTTCTAACATCTCGTCGGCAGTCACCTCAGGATCCCTGGTCACCTCCAGGATGTCTTCGTTGGTGGTCTCGGAGAAGCCTGCAGCTGTAACACTCTGCGCAGCTTCTCTGGCAAGGTCCACTGCTACTGCAACAGACTGAACCTCACCAGTCACAGGTTGACTCTGCCTCCCACCTGGGATACCTTGCAACATGTGTCTCCATGCGTGACGAACCGTTGCTACAGACAGCTGATCCCATGCCTCCACCAAGAAGTCCACAGCTTTCTTGACGTTAAATTTCCTCCAAAAGTGTTTGACGAGAACTTCTTGCTCTGCCAACTGTTGTTCCTCGTCCTCGTCGCTCTTGCTATCGGTGTCACTCAGGTTACGCAACTCATCCTTGGTGTTGGTACAGTCGTTCAGGAGCTTAAACTTCTTTGCAGAGTATGCAGCTTTCACATTGCAGATTAATTCTTGGTCCATGGGCTGGATTAATGACGTAGTGTTGGGAGGAAGGAAGACCACTTTTACGTTGGGGTGACGATCCAACAGTAGGGGTGAGTGTCCTGGTGCGTTGTCAAGGAGCAACAAAATCTTGAATGGAACATTCTGTTGCTCACTGAATTTCTTCACGTCGGGAACGAAACAGTCATCAAACCAGGAGAGGGACAGAGCAGAGAACATCCACGCCTTACGTGCGGTCAGCCAGTGGACATTTAGCTTGCTCATGTCCATGTTCTTGTAGGCGTGTGGCTTGCGAGCTGTGTGGATCACCGATAACTTGAGTTTACAGGAACCGGAGGCATTGGTGGTAAAGAGGACGGTGATGCGCTCCTTCTGCAACTTCCGGCCCCGACACTTGCTGGTAGACTGGACAACGAAGGTCTTGGAAGGTAGCTTTTTCCAAAACAGACCGGATTCGTCCATGTTGAACACCTGGTCGTCGGTGTACTGTCCTTCCTCCATAATCTCACGTAAGAACGGAGGAAAATCCCGAGCCGCAACACGGTCAGCACTCGCTTCTTCACCACCAATGTTAATGTTGGTGATCTTGTTCCTCTTCTTAAACCCTTGCAGCCACCCAGAGGACGCATTGAAGGGTTTAGGCTCTGCAATTCCCATCTTATGTGACACTGCTGCGTACAGTTCACGTGCGTACTCCTGAACTGACCGGTTGTCGACCACCATGTTCCGTCTTGCCTGACGAATCAAGTAACACACAAGTAAATTTTCTGTTTTGAGAAGCACCTTGTTCTGGCAATACTTGATCATTGAAGCACCTGCAGACTTTGTGATGTTCATGTGTTCTCTTATCTTGGCTGCATCCTTCTTGATTGTCCGGATCGTAGATTCGTTAACACCGTGCTGGCGCACGAGATCAACCTGTCCTGTTCCTTTTTCTAACTGTACTTCACCTAGTAACTTAGGGCACGTCGTATCTTCTTTGGCTTAGGGCGGCTGGGTCCAGGTAATGCCAGGTTTTTCTGTGGTGGTGGTGGTCCGGCAGCAGCCATTGTTATGGAACAATAGATACCTGTATACACGGTGTGGCCGGGAGGGATGTAAGTGACGCGGCTAGGTCAAGCGCCTTCTACCCGCCAGCGGGAAGGCACGTCATATTACATTAAACCAATCACAGCTAGCGGCGGAGGGAGCTAAGGATGCGTGGCTCAATCACAGTCCGATACGTCATATGACGTCAGCGATAACGCAACAAAGACATTCACTGCGCAACCTACGCGCGCCGCTTGCCCAAGCATGGCGGGAGGTTTGAATCCTAAAATGGCGGCGCTGCAGGACCGCCGGCCGCTCTCCGCATATATGAGTAGATGCACCGCGTAAAGTGGGAATTCCGGTTCTGGCGGGGTACCGCGTAAATGTGGAAACGCGTAAACGGGAACCGCGTAAATCAGGGTATTACTGTGTGTGTGTGTGTGTGTGTGTGTGTGTGTGTGTGTATATATATATATATATATATATATATATATATATATATATATATATATATATATATATATATATATATATATATATATATATATATATATATATATATATATATATATATATATATATTGGAAGCACAAAGTTGTGTGTCAGATAGTGTTCTGAAAGTTTTCACTAGGAGATGTGGCAACACCGCAGTGTAGAAGGTGGGAATGCGATGCTCCTCCCTTCACCACACTCAGGCACTCCACCCTGTCTGTATTTGTGGCCTCCACACACTCATCTATTTATAGCTACAAGTTACCAACTCATATAGAATGAGCTACACTGCAGATCTGGACCTATAGGAGCCCTTAGCAAAGCCTACGGATACCTAGCTTACCGTGACCTAAACTTCGTCAGTGACCAATTATCGCATGACAAGGGGTGACGTAATTTATGGCAGGGACCATTAAGTGGTTAATAGGTCATATCCTCAACTGTCTCCAGCCATAGAATGGAATCTATGAGTTCTGTCCATTCTATTATCAAGCATAAATACTGTAATGAACTTTTAAGATTTAAATGATTTGGGCTTGAATATTTTTCTGTTGTTGAAAGAATAAATCTATATACAGAGTAATATGTACTGGAATTTTATAGATAAAAATTCCGATCTGAAAAAATAAAGGTAATCATTTTTTGGATTAATTTCATTACATTATACATTATTATTGTCATATATTTCTCCTGGGAACATGTGCATAGATTTTTCTGCATTTATCATGAACCATTAACTTGAGGATTGACTATTACCAATAAAAACAGGGTCGACGTGGACGACGTGGCAAGAATGGGCCCAAAGGTGAGATGGGTGTGCCAGGGCTGGATGCCCCCTGCCCCACTGGACCTGATGGATTGCCTTTGCCAGGTTGTGGATGGCGACCCGGACAGGTAAAGAAATAGTCTTTATGATTAAGGTGCTGGTATTTTAATTGCTTAATTCAAATACAAGATAAATTATTTGATAACTTGTAGTATGTGTATGCTCTGACCAGTTGAATATTGAGGGCACAATATTAAAGGGATTTTCAAATACTTCAATTCATTACTTTCTGGGTGCTTGTGGTGCAGTATTTTAATGGTTTTTATAACAGGTGTGATTGGTGCTATGGTTAACCACTATAATTCTTTTGCATGGTTTTAAAATTTAACAGTGTTTCAGAATCTGTGTTATATCATCTATTTTTATTTATGCTGTAAAGTACTGTATATACAGAAATGGAAATTTTTTTATTAATTACAGTGAATAATATGAAAGGCATAGCCTCTTCCTACCCCCACGTAATCAGTGCTTGAGTTGAGGCAGAATGAATGGGAATGCTGTTCCGGTTGTTAACTTTTTTATCGAATCGTTTCTACTCCAACTTTCAAATCTTAATAAACTAAGGGAGTGATAAAACTAGTGTGTAAATCTACAGGTACTTAAATAGTCTGTATTGCACTGGCTATCCAGATGCGTGGGGGGGGGGGGAAATGTAAGAGAGCCCTAGTAGTAGCAAAGAAATCAGTAATATCCCCATTAGCCAGAACAACTGGTGCAGAGTGTCTCTGGGTATGAGAAATTTCTGGGTAATGAGACGAATTCTCTGATCCCCGGAAAAAATTGCACATCTACATTATTTTTTAGGGCATTGGTTAATGTTTCCTCATCTAAACTCTGCATCTGGCATGGAGCACCGTTGCTACGGAGGCCAAACTGCAGTCAAACAGACACAGCAGTATTTATTTATGCAAACACTACAGTACTGTACACATGCAGTATATTGTAAATACAAACAAAATATACTACTGTATACACTATATTGTACTCACCAAAAGATGCTGTCATCTTAAGCTTGTGATACAGGCAGGCCAAATGGTGATATGATGATACAGAATGGCCTACCTTTTTCCTGTACCATATATTGTAGCAGCTGTTGCTGAGTGTCACTCTCCTCTTCCTCCATGAAGGAAGGATCTACATGCATGGTATACTGCACAGTTTTTTAGTTTATCAAATTTATTGACAAAGCTTAGAGTACAGTTTGCCTATTCTGAGTAATTCAGTCAGGTCTTGACACTGAGGGTGGTATCACTTCTCATTGCCATGCAGGACAGAGGTTCATACACAAAGGAATAGATCTTATTCATTAACAGTATATATAGGTCAGATTCATGTGGGTGATGTCACTGTTCACTGCCATGCTGGACAGAGGTTCATATAATTGGACGTCATATTCTAATTGAAGACTAATCAGTGTGGGCTAGCAAATTTGGGATAAACAGCAAGAATGTCCTCAAGCACCCCCGATTCAATGTAGTATAATTACAAAGTTTATGATACAATAAACCAGGTGGCCTGAAGTCTTTGACAGTGTCACATTCAATAATATAGTGTTCAGGTGTATGCTTTAAAGGTTTATCACAAAGTTTACATGCTGAGTGTTCCAGTTCTGTCTGGTTCTGTCCTTATGCTGGCCATACCAGTACCTCTTGTCACAAAATTTGTCATACAGTATTTGCTAATTCTACAACTGTCAGGTCTCTCTGCATTTCTCAGTTCTTCTAGATCAGAGTTCATTATTCTGACTTGAATGTTTTTAAGTACAGCATTGGACAGGCCAAGGTCACGGTCAACATTTTCTTTCTTACATGCCTCATTGGCCAGTCTATCTGTACAATCATGATATCTAATTCCAACATGGGACGGAATCCACACAAATTCCATACGAGAGTTGTTCTCATTGGCAGTTATAACGTTTCTTTTAATATCACATACAACTTTAGACATAGAACCTGACGGGCTGTTCATTGATTTCAAAGCACTTTGAGAGTCACAGAATATCACCCCACCTTTGCTGTTTGACACTATCATCTCTTTTTCTTTATATATTACAATTGCACAGCCTGTTCTACCTGTGTTTGTCTGCACAGAACCATCAGTAAAAGCATAACATTCACTTGATTTCATACTCTCTGTGTTTCTGTTAATAGTTTCTAGTGTGACACATCTCATCACATTGGTGTTTAAAATTTGCTTACTACCAACAGATATATATATAGACTGTACATACATCCTCTACAGTCTACACATTAGCCTACAATAGGCATGCACTGTCCTCTCTGCTATGTACAGTACTGTATGTATGGTACAGTACTTTCACTCTAACTGAATGTGCAATATATGTAACTGTTATGGCTTCTTGCTTCTTAACACTGCTTTAACGGTATTCATGGCTGATTGTATCATGGTACAGTAATGTACAGTACTGCACAACACAACACAGGTCTTAAGGAAAACAGCAGTGAGCGAGCAAACATGCTTGTACAATGGCAGCAGACAATGAACTAAGAGTGTCAATGCTAGTGTTTCAGGAGATAGACTGGGAGATACATCAGCCAATCAAATGTATCCCACACACTCAGCACGAGTCGGCGCATGATGTAATTGCTCATAAATTCATTCAGGTGCTTGAATGGAGAGATTTTTCTCTGAATGCTAAAATTTTATTTTCCGGGTAATGGAAAGTTCTGGGATCAAAGATTCCAGCTAATGGGGATATTACTCTACAATTAGAAATATTGTACCTTTTAGTGAATTAAAAATACGTTAATAAGCCTGAAGTTCACAGTAGGGGACGACCACTGATGTCATAAAGAACACACACCACCACCAAACTAAAAAAAAAAATTGTAGGAGTAAACAGCACTTCCCACATTCTTACCCATATTTTTTGTGCAGTATAGGACTGCTGTTAACAAATTGGATATCAAACCTGAACATTCCACTTGTTAACTTTTTACAACTCGATTATTGCATGCGATGGTAACTCATTTAACACGTACAATTGTTGTCATGCATAAATTTGCCAGCCCAGCCTTACAGTAAGAAAAGGATAAAGTGCTTCAGGATACATTAATTATGGTCTGACTATAGTCTATTGAACATACATAAGGAAAGCTGATTGTCTTGTTACAGTAATGGGCAAAGAGGTATTTAAACGCTGTAATAAGAACCATTTTTTCAATGTTAAAAATATTTGGTGTACTATAGTATGTGTTGTACCAGAAGTATACATACAGTATTATACTAACATTTTGCCAGGTGAGTGGCACAGGCTCATGAAGCCTCTGACTGAGAATAGAGGGAAGTCTTAGAACTGGAAGAAGAGGAAACAGACAGAAGACCTACAGAAATTGTTAGCTAAACCATGAATACTGTACAGTGGTCCCTCGGTTAACAAACAGTTCGATTAATGAAATTTCGGTTAACGAAATAGCTCCCATAAAGATCTTCAATTCGGTTAACAAAGAAAAATTTGATTAACGAAATCCTTACAAACATCACGTTTTGTTGTGAGCATCAGCTGATCAGCTGATGGGCTAGTCTGCCAATTCAGTAATCTGTTCTACAGTATGTTTACAGCTGTCCCTCGGTTAACGAACACAATTCGTTCCAGAAGGTCGTTCGTTAATCGAAACCATTGTTTTAATGGGATTTTGGGTATTGGTTCCAGCTCACCGAAAATTACATACAAACTAAAAATAAATGCAGTAAAGTACACTTACTTTGAGGTGTGCATGTAGAAGGCTCCTGGTTGATGATGATGATGATGGGAATTAGAAGTAGAGGTGGAAGAGAAGGGAGAAGAGAAGGCAGTGGGGGTGGAAGAGAAGTCACCCCATGCTTCATGCTGCCATTTCACCCATAAAATTTTAAGTTCACTTGGTGTTATTCAAGATTATTTTCTTTAAATCAACACTGCACTGCACTATATATTGTCAATATGTAAAATAAATTTCAGAATGACCAATAATTGTACTGTAAAAACGTAAAAATAGCTTATGTTCAAGAGAGTCTCAAGCAAGATGCTACCTCCACTGAGGAGAGACACAAACTGACGCCATTCTGGGTGAGTCAAGTGGCTGTTGGCACGCTAAAAACTAGTTCCCTGTACTTCAATTATGTTAAATAATTGTTAAAATGACAAAATATTTTAATATAAGACTTGGAAAATTATTGAATAGTACAACCGATATTTACTCAAATGGTAACGAATTTAATCCCTAAAACCGATTACTGTATTGGCAGACTAATACTCCAGCTGGTGAGCAGGCGAAAACATGTTGACACGATTTCGTAAAGATTTCGTTAACCGAATTTTTGTTAGTTAATCGAGTTGAAGATTCTTATGGAAGGTAATTCGTTAACCAAAATTTTGTTAACCGAGGCGTTCGTTAACCGAGGGATCACTGTACATTCATTTCCAGTGGAATAAATATCAAGAAAGTTGTGCTCTTTAATATTTTTGCATTTTTTATATTAAAATTATTAGTCATTTTAACATTTATTTAACATATTGATAATATATGCAGTACAGGGAATTAGTTTTTTGTACGTCCATCAGACGCTTGACTCAGCCACCAGGCGTCAGTTGGGCTTTGTTGACAGTGGAGTGAGCATATATTTTGTTGGTGTCTTGAATATTTTTGCATTTTTCATTGAAATTATTGGTCATTCTGAAATTTAGTTAACATATTGATATTATATAGTGCAGTGCAGTGTTGATTTAAATAAAATAATCTTGAATTACACCTAGTGTACTTAAAATTTTAATGGAGAAATGACGGCATCATGCATGGGTCCCCTGAAAGGGGATTTCTCCTCCATCCCCACTTCCTTTTCTTCTCCCTTCTCCTCCACCTCCACTTCTAATTCCCATCATCATCATCAACTAGGAACCTTCTACATACACACCTCAAAGTAAGTGTACTTTACTTCATTTTTTTTTTACGTTGTATTTACTTTTCGGTGAGCTGGAACCAATTACCCAATATCCCATTGAAACAATGGATTCGGTTAACAAAATTTTTGGTTAACAAACGACCCTCTGAAACGAATTGTGTTCATTAACCGAGGGACCACTGTACATAAACAGTAGGTGGAGAAAATTATATGAAAAATGATGTGTCTGTTTTCCCAGCAGATGTGACCAACTTTTATTGATATTGCTGTACATTTATGTCAGTTTCTTTATTAAAATACTTCAAGATAAAACTTTATAAGGACTAATGCTTAATTAATGGTTGTAAGAAATAATTATCATTCTGAGATAGTTCATATTTTATCTGTGCTGGTTCTTACTTGGGTATCAGCTTTTAAGATTGGCTTCTTAATTTCATTAACCACTGATGGATTACAAGATACTAATTCAATGGAAAAGGCCCCTTGTTGGTTACATAGTAGCCTGTTAGTTTGGTCGGTGTACTGTAAGGTCATGTGGGTCAAAAGTATTTACCCCAATCATCTAATCAGAACGGGCCACAGGATCAAACATGAGCCAAGAGAATGGCATACTGTCATGCTAACCCATCAGCTTCTGAGGTGATACTGTACTAGAATAGGGCAATGAATTATTCTTTAGATACTGTAGCTCAATTTAAATACAATAATATAATGTAGTAGTGGCATGGTTTTATGTTGAATACATTATCTAAAAATTAGTTATTTCTTTGTGTACTGTACAGGTATAAGGATTGGTCTTAACATTTCATCTTTATGTACAGTTCCAGTCCAAGATTAATCAATGTGAAGTAAGCGTACAACAAGTTCACCCAGCTGTAAATGGGTACTGTACCTAACTTTATAGTTGGGAAAGTGAAGATGAGAATGTGTAGTACAGTAATATCTCTGTTACCCGGAACTCTCCGATAGTCGGAATTGAAATTTTCTCTGAAAATCGTTTCCAAGGCCGGAATTTTCCGGAAAATTACAGCCTTGGGAATGATTTCCCAAGGGGGACATTTCCTGGAAAATTCTGAGAAAATTTTCCCAATACCCGGAAAATTCCAGGGATGGGGGTATTTTTTCCCGGTTTGAGAGATAAAAATCAAGCTCATTTTCTGTAAATTCCAAGAAAAAATTTCTGTTACTCGGAAAATTCCGGGGATGAGGGAGAGATGATGTAATGGGCAATTTCTGGAACTTCCGAGAACATTTTTCCGTTACCCGGAAAATTCCGGGAATGAGTGATTTTTATCCGGCTTTGAAAGAGTCGTCTCGTTACCCGGAAATATCTCATTCCCGGAGTGCTCTGCACCAACTGTTCCGGCTAACAGGTATATCACTTATCATCCAAAGTGCCTCACTGTGTGCCTTATAAAGGCATATATTTAAGTGTGGTGTATCTGAACTGCCTATAAGGGCCATCAGACCTGCTGGACCCATCTTTCCTCTCACCCTCCATTGTAATGATATTAAAAGGAGGTGCAAGTTGTTTAGTGCAAGTATTTGGATGGAATGATTATGGCGATGAAAGAAGAGGAGATAGTGATGGAGGACCTATTTAATGTTCAGGAAGGATATGTAGAACCAGTGTAATTATGTTTGAAATTAAATTTGAAATTACTGTACTGTAATACTTCTTAGGTTTGAAAGAAGACCAATTATGTTTAAGTTATTGTAAACCAGATGAAACAGCTGAAGAGAGGCTTTTGAACAAGAATGGCTGAAACATGTAACTCAGATAAGTAGACTAATTGTTGTAAGATGATATGAACATAAGGTTGGATAATACTGAGGGCAGGAGTGTGGACTGTTGGTGTATTGTTGTAAGAAATTATAATTTTGAGGGTCTGCTTGACTTGTGATTGAATTATTTATTTCAGCAATGATTTTTCTTGATGAGTAAATTAATTCACACAGGCACACAGCTTAATAAAGATGGGCAAGAGAGGTCTACTGGATTATGTAGACATGAAAAGGAGGATTAATACAGTAATGGGTTATACACTAGAGTAGAACACCTAGCGATGCAATGTAGGTTCCTGAAGAGTGTTGGTGCTGTGGTAGAGGAACAAGTAGAAAGAGAAAATAAAAAAGGCTGAGAAGAGGTTGACCTACAAAATGGTATGAATGATATGTCCTGATGCTGTGAATGTAATATTGAATAAATGCTTATGGAAAGTGTATATGAGAAATTAAGACAATGACACAATGGATTGAAAACATGAATGGGGGCAAGAATGGCGAGTAATTAAGCATTTACAAGTGAAGTATCAGTGATTAACTTAGTCATTAATATATTGCCATATTGTTGTCATCACATTTTTGTGGTAACAGAAAACTGTACTTACATAAACATGGACAGTGTGTGTATTACTAACCACCTATTACATGTACAGCTTTGCTTTCTCTCCTTTGGAATGAATCATCAACATTATGAATCTTTAACATTTATATATCACACAATTGACAGCTAGTTACACAGTATTTAAGACTTTACCAAATACTCACTGCACAACAGGGTAAGAATATTATCCGACCCATGGGTGTGGGGATTGGCATTGGAGGGACTCCCATTGATGTGTTCTCCCTGGAGCCACCTGTCACACCCTCCACCACTCCACCCTATGATGACTATGAGGAGGACTATGAGGAGGATGAGACGGAGGACTCTGTGAAATGAGATCCTGCACTAACTTACTAACACTCCATCTGTCCTCCCTTGTGAGTGGTCATGTGAGTTACACAGCCTTAGCTACTTCACTCCTGTATGCCTAGATTGTATGATGAATCAGACTCAGTTTGGCAATGAGCACTGCAAAAATGGAGACCCCATGCATAACTAGTATGGACTCATGGGTTTTGCCCTGCCAGCACATCAGAAAAACAAAGCTTGTTGTCATAGATGTCTTGCAATATAGTACACACCTCTCTGATTCAGTAGTAGTTTGCATCTTAGTTATATGTGTCATTGGATACAGAGTTTGTGTAGCTATGTGGATGTAATAATGCTATTGTTTATAAAGTACAGTAGCATGATATGGTAGTCACAAGGGGAGTAAAGAGTTGATGATGTACTGTTAGAGGATTTCAACAAGGAAAATTATTTCACTAGTTTTGGCTTTTGTAATTTTTTTTTTATCCTCTTCTTAGTTATGTTTCATTTTTTAAAATTTTAAAGTAATTTTTATAACTGATATACTGTACAGCACTGTATAGCAAGACACAAAACTAAACACAAGATATTTCAGAAGATAAATATTTTACCTACTGTATTTTAAAAGAATTTTGAACAATGGGAAATATTTATCATTGTTAAATAAAATGTACTATTATCTGTATATAGTGTGTATGCTTGCATGTTAGATACGGTATAAAGAAAATGACTCAAGTACTGTACTAAGTTTATATATATATATATATATATATATATATATATATATATATATATATATATATATATATATATATATATATATATATATATATATATATATATATATATATATATATATATATGCATGATTAAGAATGAAATTCATAAACATTTGTTAAATGTAGTAAGTTGTTTGGCTGTTATATAAATAGTGTCAGGTTTCTCTAGTTGACATATTGTCTTTTATTAGTCAACATTTGTAAGACAAATGTACTGAATTTCCATTTTTATTCTTATGGGTTATTTAAGAATTTTTTTTTTTTTTTTATATACTCATATCAATGATTTCAGCATTTCTTACACTACATAGGGACCCAAAAGTTGTGCACTGTGACAAATTACAAATTGTTATTTTCTCTTCAAGTATATTATGGCAGCAAAATTAACAAAAGAATAATAGGATGGGGTTGGGTGTTTATCTTTTACTCGGTATTAGCTGCTCAACTTCAACTCAGTCAAGTCATCACACAAGTTTACTTTTATTCAGCATGTGTATAGACAATGCAGGTATAGTGCATGATATACATTATACAGTGCAGGTATACAAACATTGTACTGTATCTAGATAGTGCAGTTATACAATGGTAAATAGTAAGGCAACTCGGCCAAGGGTAGCCAACAAAGACATCATATGCATATATCCAGTAGGGTCCTTGAAGCACCAGGCCCTCCACATATTAAAAGTGACTTCCACCTTCAGTTTTTTGTTAATTCTGCAGCCATCATGTGGCTGAAGAATAAAGTCAAAAGAGGGTTAGTAATTTGCCTTAAAGGCTGTGTCTCAATGGCTGCCTTCTCTGTATTGATATATACTGATTAGATAATAATTTGTGTGTCTTTCAATTAATTGTAAATTTTCTTAATATTGTTTCAGAGTTATGATGAGCTGTTAAAGCGTCACTAGCCTGGGGTTGAATGGTATGGTGCAACAGCGGCAGTGTTCACTGTAGCAGATCCAGGGGCACTCTCTTTTCCCCCTTATCCTCACAGAAAACATAGTGGATAGGGTTAACTGTTGAACAATTGGAAAAAAGAGACTTGTAAATGTGGTGAGAAAAATCTTCCAGAATTTTTAGGACAGCCAATTATAATGCTGCCATATCTTCCATGCTTCTCTTGTGTTGCCATCATACCAGAATCCTGGATCAACCTTTAGTTCAAGTGACCGTGTGAAAATATGGGATAAGTGTTGGCCACAAGCTTAGATTTTCCCTTTGTATATAGTGTACAGAAGTTTCTACTGTCCTTGGTCCACAGTGACTGTGTATAGTGAGTTCCTTTTTTTTTGTTATTTTCTTTTTCCTCAGTGCTTACCTTGAAACTGCAACATAAGGACACCTCCAGTGAACATTGTATAAACTATAGAACAAAGGTTATCATGGTATCTGTTAAGCAAAAATTTTAATATTTAGGATATGAGATAAAGAATCTTGTTTTATGGTGGAATTAAACACTGTGAAATATTTATTTCATAACTAGATATCATAGGGAATTTCTGATTAGCCAGATCTCAGATAAGTGAAATATTGATGATGAGAACAGTACAGATGATGTTTGTCCTACTCTGGGCTAGCAAGCATGTTACTGCATAACTGCCATAGTTAAGTAATTGTTATACAATATGTTCTCCTTTTATGTTAAAAGGTATGCACTTATTTTAATACACTTCTTCATATTTTTCAACTTTAGACCACAGTTTTCAATAACTATGAATATTATTAGGGAACTGACAAAGAAATCGTAGAAATACCAGAACCCCTACAGAGAAATTGTGTAAAGAAATTAATAGGCACAAAAATGTTTAGTTGGTGGAATTGTGGACATATATCAGACATCTGCTGTTTTAATTATTTTATAAAATTTTGGAAATTACATTGTAGCAGTCCATTTTTATGATCATGAAAAAATAAGAGACGTATTAATGAGTTAATGTATGCAGAATGTGGAAGTTTATAGGATTGCACATTTGTCAAAGAAAGGAATACTTATCGGTACAGCTATAGCCGTCAAGGGACTTTTTGTAATCAAAAATCTATACAAGTAGTAGTGGCTATTTCTATATCTCATAATGAATGTTCCTTTCTCTGAGTCTAGTAGTGCATGAAGCAGAGTATCCTCTTTTAGAAAGAGATACCTGTATCAGATGGTAATAATTAGTGTTGTAACCTATACAGTGCAGTAAAGAGCATCAGATCTTGCAGATGGATAGTTAATGTGTGCGACTACAACAACATAGACTTATAGACTACTACACACTGGTAATTATACTTCATCAAACATATCTGAAAATCTTTGATGGTCAATCTTCCAGTGATTCTTTTGTGTAGAAGAAAGTTACACAATATAATCTCAGTTATCTTAAGAAGTGTCTATGAATTACTGGAAGATATTGAAGTTCTGAATAAAGTGAAATTTGTTCTTTTAAGAATTGAAAAATTCATATATGAAAGATAACAGAGAAGATAATTTTACTGGTATGAGTGGACAAAAATTTAAAAGTTATAATTGGTTTTACTGACAAAGTTCCTATTTTGGCCAAATAAAGAACTGCCACTATACTCAGATTAACAATGCAGTGTTAAGAATATTTCAAGATGAGCCTCCATTTGGCAGGAATATATTAAAATTTCTCATTTAAACATACAGAATTTGATATGTTTTAAAGTTACAGTATTTACAGGTAAAAGGTGCAGTATGGTGTATGTAATTGGTTTAGAGTGGACAAAGAACCTTCACTCAACAACACTTTACAGCAGTGGTAGATATTCACCAGATGAAGAAGAAAGTCTTGGGAAGATAGTCTGTAGCATATCCCAAAAGGTGAAGTGGAGTGATTAGAGCAGAGTTCAGGCTGTTTAACCCTGATGAGAAGTCTAAATTTTCTTTAAAACTGCTTTAATTTATAACTCAGGATGCAAGCTTCCAGTACGGTAGTTAATGTCAATAAGGATCGTATATTAAGAACACTTTTGAATACCTTTTGTAAACACCTTATAAAATGATTCCAGTTTTTCCTAACATTTCTTTCTGCTTAAAATTGTATTAAGTGATTCTTTCAGTAAGTTCTAAATTGGTAATAGAACTGAAATATAAATCTGTGAAACATTTCATTGTAGTTAGTACTGATGAAAGTGTTAAAAAAAATCAAAGTTCACCTTCTCTCATTGTTCCCTCATCTTCAACTCTCAATCTCTATTAGTTCTTGTGTGTTTGGTAACGTTAGAAGTTAGATGAGACGTACATTACCTCAAAATATTGCTGCAGTAGAAATGCTCAGTTCCTCATGCTAATGTCTGTGTGCAAAGTGATTTTGGTAGTCTGAGTGCCATCCTATTGTGTGTGTTTGTATACATGAAATAAAAACCTTCTCACTTGTTTAGGGGAAACTAAAGAATTTTTGGATGTATATAATGATGCCCTCCAGAAAAGTTTTGCATGTTTCTGTAGTTAATTAGATAAGGACAAGAAGAAAAATGCATTTGTTTATTTTTATTAGAAGTAGAAACTCAAATTAATCTATGAAATTGTATGTCATTGTAGTTACTATATGTATTCCTAAGAACTCTTCTAGTCAGAATGCGTGTACATCAGTAACTTGATTATTCAGGTTTTACTTCGCTAGGATCACGTACCTTGGCATCATGTTTTAATGCTCATTTTAGGGAGTTTTTCTATTCACAAAGAGGGAAAGGAGTGTACTGTACTGAGCCAGTGGTCTGTATCACTTAGTGTTCATAGACAAAGAAAGATCCTGGTTATAATCTTGATATTGTTGTAGATTTGTATTTTTAATATTCTCATTTAGGATTAATTTTTGTACTGCAATAGCTTCACAATTCAGTTATGATAAAAATTATACTGTAGTTAATGCTGTGCAACATAGGCTTTTGGGTTTACATGATACGTATAGTTTGGATAACAGTATTTTCTGGAGGAAGTGGATTATAACTGCTGTTTGCTCACGTGTTTGAGCAGACACAGAAAATAAATACTCTTACTTGTATTTCGTGTGCATACCTGTACATTAGTTAACCGTGTGAACTTACGCAAAAAAAGGAATTCATATAGTAACTATACTATGACTTGTATCATAAAATGTAAGATCATGATTTTGATACAAGGGGTCATAAGTGCAAAGTTAATACTAAGGTCATTTTTTTCTTTTGATTGAGGCATTGAGTGGTTAGGTTATTATTGTACAAAAACATGATCTTCATCAACCTTCTCCTTTAAGATAAGCGTAGTAATGCCTTGGCCACACAAAAAAGTAAGAACTTTTATTTATAGTTTTATTAAAGATGTTATCAAATTAAAGGTGTTTTAAGGATTTGTGTAATTATGTTGTATTGAAGTGAAGCAGAAAAGAGCCATTAACACAAGGTGTGGTTATTCACACATGTTTGTACTGTATACAAGTCTGTACATGAATATTCAATCACATGTTCAGATGTATGCACACACGCACACATTATATATATATATATATATATATATATATATATATATATATATATATATATATATATATATATATATATATATATATATATATATATATATATATATATATATATATATATATATATATATATATATATATATATATATATATATATATATATATATATATATATATATATATATATATATATATATATATATATATATATATATATATATATATATATATATATATATATATATATATATATATATATATATATATATATATATATATATATATATATATATATATATATATATATATATATATATATATATATATATATATATATATATATATATATATACTGTGCCTGTGTGCATTATGGACTGCCCATGTGATAAGTCGTGTATGATTATATGTGTCTACATGTACAGTATATGTAGGCATTCATAAATTTATACTGATATTCATATACATAAAAGTCCACCCAAGTTATAATGATGCATCGTCTTGTAATCTGAAAGGGAACAGTCATGAAATCTGAACAGTATATAAAAGATTTATGTTGAGCTACATATGTAGTAAACAAACCTCATACATATTACAAAGATGGTGAGAGGTACAGCATCACCTACTCTTAGACTCACTACATCTTCAGTTTTTATAACTCTCAAGCCTTGTAGTGTTTCAGGATGAGGTTTGAGTAATGTAAAGCTTGTAAGTTATAAAATAAATCTGTGTATGATTGTGTTAATTTTTTTTTTTTTTTAACCACTTTGTCTGCCTATCAGTTTCCTTCCAACTCTCCCACTTGTGTTTGGAGCAGGTCAAGGTAAACAAGAGTTGAGACACTGAGATGGTAAGGAGAGTACTGCAAGTGGTGCATGACAAGTGAAGAAAATAAGAAGAGAGAGACCAACAGTAGTACAGGTATTACCCATACATAAAGTGAATCTTCATCCTCCATATCCTCCATTGTGCATACTACTGTAGTCAAGTGTTGATCACATTTAGCTGTCATCAGGCCCATCCCTTAGGGGGGGGAACAGTGGCGACCGCCCGGGGCCCAGCACTAGACCCAGTGACCTCGGACACATTACCTGTTGACTGGTTAATCTGACCTTACGGCTTACGCCACCATCGCAACCGTGACCTTACCATCCATAGCGACAGTCCCATGGGGGTGGGTTCCTCTGACCGCATAATCTGACACTAGTGTGGGGCCCCGCAGTGGCTGAGTTGCCCCGGGCCCCGCACCCTCCAGGGACGGCCCTGGCTGTCATATTTTATCAGTAAATCCAGAGATCATGTTTCTGCTGTAGGCCTCTAGAGTACATGTGTTTATTTAAATTTACAGATAATATGTTGTGTATAGAATGACCATCCAGCCCAGTCCTATACAAATGTAAAGATGACCCAGTGATCAACGAAAAGTAAGAGTAAGTGAACTGTGGTATAATTGGTAAGTTCACCACTCCACAAGTACAGGCAAGAAATTTCCGTTCGACTCACAGAATTGATGCTCACCCTCACAGTCTCACGAATAAATGCACTAAACTCAGTAAGTCTTATTACTGCGACACAGGTCAGACAAACTATTTTTAGTTTATTTTTCTTGCTCGTGGCTTTGGTATATTTTTTCGTGACTTATTTCCTCAGTACAGGAGACCTCTACAGTGCTAACTGACAACTTCTAATCATGTCAGTGCTTGTAGGCAATGTTTATAGGTTAATAAAGTGAAGATGTGGAGTTGACATCTTAGTTTTTCATGAGTGTAAGGTAAAGGGTGCTTGCCTCTACTGTAATTTACACTTGCACAGGTGTATGAAATGTCACAGAATACTGATTATTTCACTCAAGAATGCAGGAAATGGCCTTTTAGGTGGGATATGTTTGCACTTAACAAAAACCATGCACATATTTTAAAAATCATGGATTTTCTTAGTCAAAAGTTAGCTTCTCTGCAACGGTGTGAGGTTGGCGTTGAGTCCCAAGCAATTTATAATCTTTCATTTCTCATTACAAGTAGCTGCTGCCAAACTTGACTTTGCTTAATTGGAAATTCAAATAAAACAGACCTTATCTAGGCCATCCATGATTTTGGGAGGAAAAATGGAAGTTTTTCAAAGTTTGATATTTTTATATGATTACAGTCAGTTCATGTCAGTGCCACATAGTATATCCAGATCTATCAAACAGGGAGGTACTGCTGCCTAGGAAGATATTGGAAGCATAATGTGTTGTCTAATGGTAGACCCTGCTGCCACATGGCATCACGAAAATTGTGACCAAGTCCCAGGTTGCTCATCTGACTTTCTGCCTCATTTACACACAATTGCAAGGTCTCAATTGTTTCTTTTACTATTGACAACACAACATACATATATTGTTTCTCAATTTTGATCTTTTTTATTTTTGTATTTCTTTGTTGTTCTTTATTATTATTATTATTATTATTATTATTATTATTATTATTATTATTATTATTATTACATTTTTGCCCCCCAGGCACTGATGTGGGTCAGTGACCTGTGAACGGGTGGGCTAATCCCTGTAAAAAAAAAAAAGTATTTTAAC